GCGCGGAAGTTGCCATAAACCTATGATTCCAACGTGGGAGAACAATCTACTTTCCATCAATTGTACAGTGACATGATGACAGCTTGTCAATCAGAGTGACATTTTTACGATTATGTATAACCTCTTCTTACATTTCTACATTCATTTCAAACACCATGTCATCTGAAAAACAACTGTTTGGACGAAGAGATTGAACACAATCCCCAGTGGGCCGGAACCATCCTAGACGAATTATTTGCCATTATAAAAGAAAAAGCTACCACGCAAGATCTTTGTGAAATGCGTAGACAGGTGAGAAGATACATTGACGAGATTGAAACTTGTGATTCCAACGTGGGAGAACATTCTACTTTCCATCAATTATACAAAGACGTGATGACAGCTTTTCTAGCTTATGGTATCTATTTACAACTCAAATATCGTGCAGAGTGAACAAATAAATCATATGCAAAACCAAATGTTGTACTTAAACCGACCGTAATCTTGGATTCTTTTGTTTTTGAAAAACCGTTACGATGTTTTTATTCACCCTTCTTTCGAAATTTAACCCGAACCCTAAAAACCCCTCGTACACCTACAGGAAATTTAACCCTAATAGCCCCCACGTACAGCTACCCTAATTTTAACCCTAACAACACCCTCGTACACCTATGCAACATGAATAAATTAACCTCGGCCGAGACACTCGGATCCAGACATCAACGGAATTTCCAGTCAGGCCCCCTACATTACTCTTCCAATGCTGATAAGCATTGTATCTAAGCTGGCTAATTGGATAAACTGAGCAACTGATTCCGTTTTGTACTGTGGCAAATAAAAGATCCTTTGGTGAAGAAAATCTAGGTGAAGATAATTGAAAATTAAAAGTTGAGTCAGCCACACCGAAAATTAAATGAAAAGCGTAATTAGTTATCAAAGACGATGACTGTTGGGTGCGTCCCAGAAATTGCTTCTAAATTTCCAACAAGCAGATAAGCAGTTTTCCTTCAATAAGCTTGAGACGGTAAAGGACTTCGCATTACAGTTGATCTTATCATGGGAGCTCTTAAAGGTTTTTCATTTCGTTGGAAGTTTCTGGAATTATGTTAAGGACATCTTTTAGCTTAATATAAACTAAACTTGATTCCATGTTGCGTGATCTCATAGCTGCTTTTATTTCGCTGCAGTAGATAACAGATATATCTGTTTACCTTTCATAAACAGAATGTGGAAGATTTCTCGGCATGCAAAGCGGTGAAATCTCGGAAGAACAGTTAGGTACCTCCTCAGAGAGAGACTCTAATCACTCCGCCAATCAGGGCCGACTTCATTATGTACATTCTGACAAAACGGGATCTTGGGCAGCTGCAAGCAATGATGCGAATCCATGGCTCCAAGTTGATCTGGTTATTCTGCACACTAAAGTGACACATGTGGCAACACAAGGAAGTGATGGACACCAGAGGGAGTGGGTTACGAAGTACAATCTGCTGTACGGCAACGATACAGAAAGGTTCTACAATTATACAATCCCAAGACAAGACACAGCGAAGGTAGAATTGATTTCTCGTGTATCGCGTGATTTCCGTTTAATATACGCAGGAAAAAAAGCATTTTTTGATCATCATTAGCAGAGTTTTTGCAATACGCACTGCTGGTAATAATTATAGAATATCGAGGTCCCGAGAGGAACGCTTTGGAGAATGGTATATGAATGAGTTGGAGGACTTTTTTTACATCGTAATAACTGATAATCATTTACTCTTCATCAAAGATTTAATTGAAAGGCCGTTATGTTGTTAATTCAAAGGTTTTTTATGGAAACACAGATCAGAATACCGTGGTTTATCACGACCTTAACCCACCAATCACAGCGCGTTACATTCGTTTTAAACCAGTAGAGTGGCAGGATTGGATATCAATGAGAGTTGAACTGTACGGCTGTGTACAAGGTAAGGTCTGTATGACGATATCGCTTGAGCGGTACCTCTTGAAAAGAGGAATTCACGCCAGATACTATTTCATGTCTTGTTTAAACACAAGCGCTTGGATATTCTTTGCTGTGTGTCATCTCAATCGTTTTCGAGCTGCTTAATTGGCTTTCGTTGAGCTTCTGATTGGCCAAGAGGATGGACCAATAACAGGGCGAAGCAGGGTAACGCCAATTCAATCCCGGATAACTTATTCCAATCATTTGAAAATTACTTTGCAGAGCATTGTTCAATTGACTTATCAGCTTTGGTTATATGGAGTTACTTTCTTCACTCTCTTCTTTTCACCGGCACATGTCATCGCCGAACAACAAACTTGAATAATTTGATGAGTAAAGCGACTCTACGTATGGGAATGGGAAGAAAACTTTGTCCTCTCCCAAGATTTTTAGATCTCCCATTAAAAAAATTAGTGACGGCTCAATTCTACAGTTTATGAAAGCAACATGGGGCTATTCGAAAACATAATTATCTTTCAGTTTGGCAATCGATATCATTTTATCGACTGTAATCCTCAAATGCAGTAAAGTCAGTCAATACCCGACCTTATTATATGGCTATGTCTCACAAGGACTGGGAACTACCGAATTCACGAATTTCATTGGCTGAAATAAAAATTGAAAGCGGTCTAGATTTTTCCAAAAAAAAGGTACAAAGAATATAAAAAATTGGCATATAAGACACAGCCATATAATAAACATCTTATTAACCGAGCTAGGTCGGTCTGTATGGGAGAATCTTGACCTCGGTCGCTGGCAGAGACCTCACTGCGTTCGGTCTTTACTGACGACGTTGGTCAAGATTGTCCCGTAAAGACCTCCCGCTCGGTTAATAAGAACTAAATCAAAGATTTCTGCTGTTTAAAGTACAATGGTGAGCAAGCTTCGAAAAATGGCACAGTAAAACTAATTCGAACACTCCAAGTGGCTGACGTTTCCGTTCCAGTGTGATCCAATAATTTACGTTACTATAAGAACATTTCCACAGTAATGACATCATTGGAAGTGGTGAAGAAAAAATTTTAACAAATTTCTAACTAAAATCGTAACTCATTTTATTTCATGTTTATTATACAGAATTTACAGCTGTGTTTACAAACCTGGGTAAGAATGGATCTCAGGGTCCACACGCAGTCGGTAGTCACTACACAGGTCAGGATCATGACGGACAAGTTAGGGTGTCCAACGGTACTCAGCTGTGGACTGTTCCACGCACTGGCGAATACAGAATAGAAGCAATAGGAGCCTCAGGAGGGTACGGTAAGGAGAGCGACATCAAGAACGGAGGAAGAGGGGCAAGGATGATTGGAAACTTTAATTTGACCAAAGGCGAGATCATCCATGTACTTGTTGGTCAAAAAGGGAGAAGAGGGAACATCAACAGAAAAACCGCCGGAGGCGGTGGAGGTACTTTTGTGGTGAGAGGAAGTAACACACCTTTGATCATAGCTGGAGGAGGAGGGGGGATTAGAAACATGTCAAAACAACATCTGGGATGTGATGCGTCCATTAACACAACAGGGAATGCGGGATACAACACGCTACTGGGGACAGGAGGAAGCAGTCGACGTGGAGGAAATACCCCTGATGATCATAAGTCAGGTAAGCGAAGATACAAGAAAAATCCATCAGTATGTTCATTCATCGGGACAGTAAGACGACAATAAAATTTCTCAGTTCTGTATTGAGATGATTAATCTTAACTTTGATTTTTTTTCTTTTCTTGTTGACAACATCTCTGGTGGCGCCTCCTGGAATATCTAAAGTTCAGCTGAGTTTTGCTAGTTTAGTTTCTAAAAATCCTACTCATTTATTTACTGCTCACCACTGATCAGTCAATATGCATTATCGTCGCGTCATTCAATTTTTCTCTTGTATGAGATAATATTGGAACAATAGTCCTTTTTACAGTTGTGGGTTTGGTGGCCAAGCCTTTGAAAAGGAGTGAGGCTAAGGGTGAGCCTGTTGTGATAGAGACCTGTATCTAGTTAGCATGATAACAAAGAAATTTGCATTTGAAAAGCAGCAACATCTGTATCATAACAAGGTCACCCTTAACCTTACTCCTGTTCAAAGGCTTGGCCACCAAGCCCACAACTGTAAAAAGGACTATTGGCAAGAGCTTCTTATCAGCTAATAGGGTCTAACAGCGATTTTGGATTAAATAGAACAATTTCTTAAAACTAGACTAGTGCTGAGCATCACCGTGACTAAAACCTAGAAGCTAAAACCGTGGCTCCCAAATTATTTTTCCTACCTTTCCTAAAACATTTCCCAATTTTTTGCAACTTCGCCTGTATCTGTTCCTAAGTCCAGCGAAGCCTTTATGGCCATTGGCCCCTGTAATATACAGGAGTTTAGTGTTTTAACTTGTAAAACTCCCTGAGGAAGAAGTCTACTGCAGTTAGACGAAACGCGTCGGAGAATGAAGAATTTTACAACTATTATTCGCAGAGTGCTGCTTGCTAGTTTAGTTTAATTAATCGCAGAATCGCATCGTTGAATAAAATATCGCATTCTGATTGGTTAACGGAGCGGGGTATTTAGCGTGGAATTGCGAGTTGAAAACGAGGCTAAGTGATATTGTTTCGCATCTTCGTAAACGTTACAACTATAAGTGATGGTGATTCCTTTTTTTTTTCTTTTTTTTCATTCAATTATACGATTCAAGGAAAATCCACTACTTGACTCATGAATTCCGCGTTAAATTGCACTTAAAAACCGATATCGCACCGATCGCTTCGTGATTCGGGCGATATCGCTTTTGTGTGTAATTTAATGCGGAATTCCCTCGTCAAGTAATTAATTTTCCTATAAAATGCAAAACTTGAACACTTATTTTTCCTCTTAACCTTTTGTATGACTACGATATTCGATGATTTAATAGATTTTAATAGACATCCAAAAAATAGAGAAATAAGCTTGGTTAAAAATAATGCGAATCGCGTAGAGTCAATAATTATGTTGGTGCTTTGTATAAGAGATCACTGATTACTTTTCTATTATTATAGGTGGTGGAGGTGGTGGCTTCTTGAGTAATGGAAAGACCGCACCTGGTAATAACGGACCAAGTGGAAAAGGAGGTAAAGGATATCTCCAGGGGGGAGAAGGTGGAGAGTACCAGGGTGGATTCGGAGGTGGCGGTGGTTTATATAAAAGCAACAAAGGAGCTGGCGGCGGTGGTGGTTACTCTGGAGGAAATGGAGGTGGGAAAAAGGGTGAATCTTGTGGGGGAGGGGGAGGATCTTTTAACAATGGGACAAATCAGCAGAATGAATGTTGTTATAATAGCAATGAACATGGTCGAGTGATCATCACATTTATCCAGTAAAGTGCACACGGCAGTACTTTCTTTAACTGTTCAGCAAGGGTTAGAGTGCAAGATGTAGCTAAACACAAAGCTTCTTAACTGATGGTACATTTTGCGAGATTATACAAGAACCCATTAAACCTGAGCGCATTGCAGTTTCTTGAAACTCCAAGGATGACAAACCAAAGCCGAACATTAGCACTCATTAGATACAGTTTACTTCAGTAAAATTACCGCATGATGTCCATAACTTTATGACACTTAACGTTCCGGGAGATTCAACTGAAGGGAAATGATACAACTGATTTTATGTTTCAAAGCGTTCAATAACACCTAAGCAAAGACAGATCCGGAGAATTAACGGACTCCTTTAGTGTCTTGGGGCTTAGAAAACTGTGTGGTTTCATTGATTAATTATTTGTGGAAGAATTGTTTTTAATTGACTGTAAAGGGTATTCACGTTTGGTTGCCTCAAAATCAAAACAGATTTTCATTTACTGTAGAGCCAACGTATCTTTGTTTTTCCGCCTTTTGGGCCGACTGAATTTTCACCTGCATGAGGTAGATTGTAGTTTTGCTGCAATTAGCTTTATTTACAGATTATCTACGAAAAGACTCTTTTACTGACGCACTATTTTACCGACGTATGGTGTCCACTGGTGACTCATTAGAGTTCGCCATTTGTGAGTAATTTTACATCAGTTTCTGGGTTACCAGTCAATTGCAAAGCATTCAGCTTCACCTCTAGCGGTATGCTGAAAAATGAAAACGAATTAAAACCAACTTGTAGATGTGGCCGGGATATATACAGGGGGAGGGAGGGGGGTAGCAAATAAAAACATGTCATA